CATCATTCTATCTGAATGGATCTGAATGGGTCAGCGGTATAGGTCGATGATTATCAACTTATTTTAGCCTGAATTGGATGATATGAACACCAATGGCTTGTGGTATCAACAGGATGACGCATTGGACATTATGCTTAGGGGCATGGTCATCTCAGATAGAGGTAATGTGAACATGCCACTGAAATCGTACGATTTGAGCTCCTTAGATTCTTTCTTTGGGATTTTTTTTAAATCGCAGGTCTATGTGAATAAGCTAGAAACTACAGCGACCTTCGAAGCTAACATAGCCCATACCATCGGTCAAATTAAATACGTAGCGAAGCCGCTTAAGACTCCATATTAGAGTTTAATAGATCTAAAACTGTTGCTCTAATCGAGGAGAACTACACACAGACCGAAGTTGATACTCAGGTTACTCGTGTGATGTCTCCCGGCTTATAAATAAAATTGAAGAACGAATTCTGTTAGTGGCCGACCGAAAAGTGCACGACTCAGGATAACTACCAACACACAAGATCAAAACTTAAAGAGAGCCCCGAACAAAGATGTTCGGCCAAAAGCTGCAGTTTTCACAAAGTTGTTTGTGAAGAGGAGGATTTCAATGTGACTCGATTCTCTTTAAAAAGTGTTCTTGAAGTTAAAAATAATTTAAAGATCATTCATTATAATGATCAATCATTGCGTAACTCCGTTCTTGACAACACAAAACTTGACAACTTGGTAACACAAAAAGATTGTCCAACCTCTAACAACTTTAATAAATCAACCAATATCATGTATTTTTTTAATAACTGTCTAAAAATAAAGACTCTACTGATGGTAGTGTCTATTATCCAGGTAGTGTATATTTATCTACTAAAGGTAGTGTATATTATCCAACCATATCTTTTTTGCCCATCTTATCAAAAGTTTATGAACGAATAAAAAAAAATCAAATTAATCTACATTTTGAATTTAAAAAAAAAAACTATTTGCCATACACTTGTGTAGACTTCGGAAAAATAAAACAATACCTTTAGCTATTGATCATTTCCTTAGCAAAATTTTGGAATGGTTTGAAAAATATCTTGACACCCTTGCATCCTTTTTAGATGTCACTAAGGCTTTTGATTGTATTACATATAGTATTCTGCTAAGAAAACTTCCTTATTATAATTTTCATAGTGATGCTATTCAACTAATTAATTCGTGTCTAACAAATCGTGATCAGTATATTCACTTCAACCAGTGTGATTCTCAAAAACAATCGCTGGTGTATGGTGACCCTCAAGGCTCGGTTTTGGGTCCAATATTATTTCTCATTTTTATTAATGATCAAGTAGACTCAATAAATAAGGGAGTTAACACTATTTTATTGGCTGATAACACTACTTTCTATGTATGCTATTACCCTTCTGAATTTGACACAATTGATTACCAAACCTCTGAAAAAAACTTATTCCAATGGTTTTACCTTTAAATTCTAAATCACCCAGTGTTAATTTCACTTTAAGAAATAACACTGATATTGGACACATTGCTCTACCACAATGTGCAACCGAGGCGAAATTTCTGGGAGTACACTTGGATGCTTTCCTCACAACTTCCTTTTCAGAAATCTTGTACAACAAAGGACTTCAAGGAAAAATAGTTTAACAGCTTATCATAGTAGCTTTCATTCTCATCTAATGCACGCTATTCTCTTCTTTGGTCATTCTTGTGATATTGCTAATGTTTTTCGACAACAAAGAAAGTGTGTTCATATTATCTCTGAGCTCGAGCAGCAGACTGTAAAAACTCCTTTAGAACTTTTAAATTTTTTGTCTTTACCTTGTTGTGCATACCTTACAGTGTCTGTTGCACAAAACAAAATCTTAGCCAATACAACACCCATGTAGATTTTCACAATTATCAGTAATTTTGTACCAGAATTTGGACGTGTTGAAAGATCCAGAAATTGTTCTCTGGTGGATCAGAAACATAGTGCCAGCTTTATAGTTAACTTGTAAAAGTACTTTTTGTATTATTAATATTACCAATAAACTATCTATCTATGTATCTTTTCTGAAATCAAACCATGAGTGTCTCAGTAACCTTCAATAGTAGATCGTTATAGCAAGCTCAATAAATTGTAATTTGTGACAAGACAATTAGAAATAGATTGCATTTGAAAACATTTTGTTCGTAAGAATAGCTTTGTTTACTTGGAAACTCACAACAGAAAAGAATGTGACTTGATAAGCTGTGAACTCTTACAGTGTCATAACGACAGATGGCAAATTTGTGTATTTTCTGATGATACTGAGATAGGCCTTTTGTCACATAATCGTTAAATTAGAGTATGAAGTCAGCAACATAGACTTAATAGAGCTGTCAGATTCCTAGTTATCTACGTGGTAACATGTGAAATAATAAAGCGACTTCAAATCCCACTGCTGGTAAAATAATGGTCAAATTTATCTTCATGTCTTCTGCTCTATAGATAAGAAACCACTATGTCAACATTTATTTCTTCTTTGAACCTTTCTCCTCTTGAAGATCGGCAGATATTTTGGCAAATTCTTCTGTTTAGGTCTTCTTCAGCAAATCATCCAATCTATTATGAACTTAAGGTAGAAACATGTCTACGTCCTGATCCTTTATCTTCGATCTTAACCTCTAGTATAGGTTGGATGAAGTCATAACATTTTGTGTTTCATTCATGACAAAATAATTCTTTTAGTCTAAAAAGCTGGAGTAAAAAGTCCGAGCTGTGTATAAAAATCAACATTAGTTTTATTACTATGTAACTTTAAATAATCTTACAATAAGTAAACACCTGGATAAATACATATTATCAAATGTATTGATCTTTTAAAGTAAATAAACATACTTGAATAAAGTATTTCAGCCCATCATCCGTGATAAGACCACAACAATTCGCAGATGATAATACACTTATCTATGAAAAGTATGACAAAAAAATATTAATTATAATAGACTAGGTGTTATCAGGGGTTATTTTTTCCATTTTATTACATTATAATTTTTATTTTTCTATTTGCATACCTAAATTTAGACCTTGGAAGATTCGCTAAATCTTATACTGGCTTATACTGGTATTCAATTATTACTAATAGTACAAGATCTCACTGCAGGATCAATATGTTCATAAAGTAGTTAAACTCACCTTTTTACATACATTTAAAATAAGGAGAATACATTTATAATCAGTTGCCAATCAAAAAGTTGTCTATACTTCTAATCCTAATGTATGTAAAAATGTGAGTTTGATGAACTATATTATGAACTTAGTGATCCAGCAGTGAGATCTTAGGCAATAAAGTCGGTTTTAAATAGTTTATTAATTTCTTCTCTGCTGTACATAAAACTTTTTTTGTTCATCATCAATTGATAACCATTTGGTATTATACAACATACAAGCATCTGTAAAGTACTTTTAGCACTTATCTTACTATACCTCTTAAACATGTTAGCCGCCACCTATACCGCTTGCAATTAAGTGCCACTATATATGTATGTAGCGCAGAATGAAATATATTTTTACCAAAATCTTTGTTGTTTTATTTATTTACTTTTTTTAAGTATACCTCTCCATAATGTCATATATACCTCTCCATCTCTCAAATATACTTCTCCTCCCAAATATACCTCTCCATAATGTCATGATTTTGCATATTCCTAGACATACAGGTGTTGATTGATAGTTTACTGAAGCAGTGGCATCAAAGATTGATCAAAGGAAGATTGTCAAATCCTACTAGTATCAAAATTTTGGTAATAAGTACTTTTAATTTATAATTCGAGAAATACCTCATTTCAAAGAGTTATAATTGTAGAAATATTTTATTGTCTAAGGGTATAACATCTTGAGAAACTCATAGGCAGGTCTAAAGAAATTAAATACATATGAGATGGTAGTTTAAATCAAGATTTAAGTTTAAAAAGAGCATTAGAAGATCCAGAAATCTTGTTATGAGAATATTATAAATTATTTTGTATTGTATGCTGTAAATTTGACAAAAATATATATATTGTTATTGCCAAAGAAGTGTGTGACGAAATTACAGCCCAAATAATGGGAAGATTTTCCTTTAGAAGTGATTTACTTACAACAGACTATTGTAAAACTGAAAGATACTTGAAATATTCTTGAAATTTCACTTCTAGGTACTTTTTATCCTACTTTGTGTAAAGACAGACTGAAAACTGAAATAGAACATACAAGACATAATATTTAAAGGCGATAATTATTATGAAAACTTGATTTTTCCATAAAATTCAAACATTAATTGGAAAATTCCTGGGCAGAAAATAGAAATTTTTTGAATTGGCCACTTAAGCAATTACTAAAAAACAATGGTGATCGAATCATATGAATGAATATTTATCATTTACTAGATACCTCTTACTATTTAAAATCTTAAAATATGTGTATTGTTTTATGTAAAATCTTTTGGCATATGGAATGGAAAAAAATTTCTATCCCATATGACACAGTCTGGTTTAGAAAAAACCCTAATGAGAATAGGATTTAAATTATAATGCAAGAAAAATGTTCTATTTTATAAAAAAAATATTTCTGAGGATTGGAAATTGGATTGGATTTAGTATCTAGACCTTATTTACCCCAAGCTATTACATTTTCAACTTCCAGAAATGTAAAATGATCAAAAAATCATACCCTCCTGTCTAAAATTAGTTTAAAACACAGATTTAAGTTCTAAACATTGGTTAAACAAATAGAATTAAGTAAAATCCATAAAGAAATTCATTTCTTTTGTAGTTAGTGAGAAAATTTAGATATATGACTTCGGATACAAACTTCCACACCTTCAAATATAGATAAAATATGTTTTTATGCATTTTTGTAAAGTTACTGTATTAATTAATCAATGGCTCCTATTAATTTATAAGTACAAGACAGATGGCAAACATATTACCCATAAGTAAATCAAAAACATCACATAAAAGCAAAATAATTGATCAAAAATAATAGGAAAATGTTCATAAAAACTTACATCGATTGTGGAATACTCTACTAGGTCTATTTTATTTCCAACTAACACTACTGGGCAAGTGCCATCAGGATGATTTTGTCTAATAAGAGGCATCCAATACGAGGTGATCCTTTCAATAGAATCATCATCATCCACTGAGTACACAACGCATACTACACTGGCTTTTCTAATCTGCTCATCCAACTCATCCTCAGTTTGTTCTGCAGATGAATAATCCACAATATTGGTAGGGACTTAAAGCAAGAAAGTATTTAATTTTATTTAAAAATAACCACACTGTTGGTAAATATTGCATTGATTAAACATGAGCTTTAAGTACCTTGTTCTGGAGTAACATCAGCTGGTATGGTGATCTCCTCCGCCTTTGAGGGTACATTTTCCGGAAATTCTTCACTTACCAACGATAAAATTAGGGATGTCTTACCTACACCACTATCACCCACTAATAAAATACGAACTGTGCGTTTTTGGGAAGTTTTCACTACCATTTTTTCAGGTACAGGTCTAGAAAACATTGTCACATTTTAGGTTAAGGCTTATCAATCAGTAACGTAAACAAGTTGATTGATCGTAATCGCGAATTGAACTTCAGATAAAAATAAATATTACGTGAAAGTGCTATCCTGCGGTTATAGGTGTGAACTGTAAGATACAAATGAATTGCCTACCTGTTTTATTGAATGACTTAGAGTGAACTTTCCCAGGAGAATACCGTTAGATTTATAATTATTTTTAAATACATTGCACTATAATTAAAATCTTCATTTAAATATTAATTTTTACTGTTTTATTTCAGTTTCTTTCACTTTTTTCAGAATGTCAAAAAGAACGCGTGCGTGCCAAAAAATTGCACGTGACGTTTGACGCACTTCATTGACAAAATTTGGAAATTAATTAAGAAATAAACAAAAATTATCATCAAATTCCACACTACGCTCTATAGTTTGTTGAATATCGAACAGTTTATTACCCCCTGCTTAGATATTCATATATAGTTCAGCACTACATTGGGCTCCCGCGCAGATTATAATATTAAATTCTAGTCCCAAAATAGATAACTTAAAATAGACATGTGTACAAGAAATGTTTATTCCCATTAATTGAAGAAAAACAAAGTTGTGTATCTACAAACACAATGTATCTTAATATAGATTATCCATGTACTTCAAATTAATTAATTTGAAGTCGTTTAGTATGATCCTTGATCCTTTCAAATATCTCTCTATTTTTATTGACATTAATTTGTCATAACAAAACCACCATGAAGTCTGCGACGTTGCCAGAGCTTCTGTTACTTAAAATTGAAATTCTTAAAAAATAATTTTCGCGCCAATTATAAAATCATTTTTTATTGAACATTTTAAAAAGGAAATTATAGTAACCAATAACATTAATAATATAAGAAAAATCTCTTAAATAAAATATTTAATAACACTTTAAAAACAAGTGTCATTAAAATTGGCAACATAGTAGCTGTCAGTTTAAGTATACTTGTTACGGTTTATTTCAGATTTTTATTATTAATTTATTAAATATGGAAATTACAACTGTAGATATAACATTTTTTTAAAATAATCTAAGCATCAGATTTTATTTCAATAGTGATATTTAAATTTAAAATCATCTTTTATATAGTGACATTTGACATTGAGTTGTATAGTTTGACAGTTCAAAATAGGCTCTAGCGGTCGTTTTTGAAAATACGCCTTTTTTGATCGTGTTTAATGAAGGTGTAGTGTTCATCGGTAAACACGAAATAATTCCTAGGTAATATAGTGTTTATATTCATCATCCATCATAATTTTGTGAAAAGTTTTGTAAAACACTTATCGAGCTGTTATACTGTGCACGTATTTCTGTCGATATGAGGCTATATTCAGAAAAATAACGTAAACAAAATATGTGGTTCTTCTGCTATTAGTTGAATGAAAAACTAGTGTTTTTGAAGTTTTCCTACCACTAAAGTCTTGTTTAAAACAATATATCACTTCGTGCCCATATTAGTTTAATCTGTTTTTAAATCCACACGATTTTGAAAGTAAATAGTTTCCATAACCTAACAAATAACATACTTTAACTTCAGTTTTAAATTAATTTTTCTGTTTTCTTTTTAGCCATGGTGCGTATGAATGTATTGAGCGATGCTCTAAAATCCATAAACAATGCTGAAAAGCGCGGTAAAAGGCAGGTCCTTATCAGGCCTTCATCAAAAGTAGTTGTTAAGTTTTTAACTGTAATGATGAAGCATGGTTACATTGGAGAATTTGAAATTGTAGACGATCACAGAAGTGGAAAGATAGTAGTAAATTTGACAGGAAGGTTAAACAAATGTGGAGTAATTTCCCCTAGGTTTGATGTACCAATTACACATATTGAAAAATGGACAAATAATCTTTTACCTTCTCGTCAGTTTGGGTAAGTAAATAAGTATTTGTAGATCACGCTTGAATTTAGCTGTATTTATATTATTTAGTGTGTGCAGTCCTGTGATATTTGAGAAATATTGTTATCAATACAAAGTTTCTTGATGCACACAGGTAGATTAAATGAGGAAACCCGTGCTGACATAACCATGATTGACCACTATAATAGCTTCATTACTATTATCTGGTTCTTCACATTTATTCTCAGCTCCGTTTTTCCTAAAACATTTTTTCAAGTTGCTAGATAGGCAGTATTAAAATGCACACAAACAGCCTTTTAATATTAAAGAATAAGAAGAGGAAGTGAACAGATTACAACAAATAATCTTTGTAATATGTGTCTTAGCTCTTAGTTACTATCGTCAATGTAATTTTGTTACAAAGTCGAGAGGTTACAAATATAATAAAATGGGAACAATTTGAGTTTGCATTTAATTTACTAATTTGTTAATTGTTATTACAAGCATTCATTGAATAGTGCAATTTTTTTCCAAATACCAAAAAGAAGACATAAACATTCAAATGTACCAACTTAATGTTAAAGTAGGTTTAATACATAAGGAGTCGATATATGAAGGCAGAATAGACAGAATCAGTTACATTTTTTTATACTTGTAGTGCTATATCATACATAGTCATCATCATCATCATACATAAATGTTCTGGTAAATGCAGTTTTTTATCTGAATAGTCTTGAAAGTGTTAACAACCTATTTAATATGTCAATGCATCAATTTTATCAATTGTTAGCAAAATCTTTCTAAAATATGGAGTAGTTGGAAGAAAAACAAAATATATAAATTTTTTGACACACTCTGCATGCTTTGTGGACTGTACAATCGGGAAAGAAGACCTAGTGAACACAATTACAAGAAGTAACGTTAATGGGCATATCTAATGCTCAACAATATGGTTCAAACAAGGCCTATATTCTAAAAAGAGTGGACACAACCTAAATTACATCTAAAGAATATGTAAAAAGAGAATATAAAAATAATTACAGGAAAAACATGGGCAAAAATTGAGTGATCTACTAAAGAGATTAATGTAAGTCCTACCCACAATGCATAACAGTGGTACAGGTGTCAATATGGCGTGTTATGCTCCATAAGGAGTGATAAGAAGTAGGGGTATGAGATAGATACATTAAATGTATTGGTTACAATTACCTATTTTGATAAATTTCTTTTGTGCAAAACAATGCAATCTGTAGTAGGTTTCATTTTTCTGTTGCAATTATCCATTCTGTCAGTACTTTACATTTTTTTTTATATTAAAATCTTCACAATTCAGTATTTTTGATATACAGACAGCCCAATTCCACTTTAGCCATAATGTACACACATCAAGAAAAGGGAGAATGGCAATAAGATTGTCTTGCTGCTGTGGGAAAAGAGCATCTCTCTTCATACCCTGGCTCATCAAAAATGCATTGTTCCTTTACATTCCTAATGCATTACACAGCTTAATGTATATTTATTTGTCATTATTTTCATCATGTAAATGGTTATGTATCAAATGTTCTCGTTTTAAACCTATTTTCAACTTCTTTTTATTCCTATTTTGACATCTTCTAGAATGGGGTTCACTAAGAAACTCATATCAAGAACATATCGTTATATATATATATATATATATATATATATATATATATATATATATATATATATATATATATATATATATATATATTTTTAATTGTCTGTATTTTCAAATGATGATTTTAATTGAGTACCTCAATGTTAAGTAAATATTGAATAACTTTATAATAATATTTTTTCATTTTATTATTATAACATTTTCTTTCCTTATTTCATTTTTTATTTAAATCTTTGTTTTAAAATAATCAAATAACCCCTAATCTTGTGGATTATTTAATGCACTATTTTTTCTAATAAAGACACTATTACAGGTAATTATGAGTTTGTAAGCAAAAAATAATTTGAATCTTATATTCATCTTAAATAGCATCGAAAAATATTATATAAAGTCTGAAGTGGAAATTGAAATACCAAAATAAACTATTTTTAAACTGAAATTGTGGGCAAGTGCCATTAAAGAAAATGAATATTATTAAGATGTCACAAGAATAGAGCTTCTGAATAATAATAAATAAACATAGCATTGTGTATATGTTTATTAACTTTTTTTAACACTGAGAAGCATGTGTATAAACATATATAGCTTGTCAGTTTGTTAGTGAATAATTTGAATATTTGTTAAAAAGTACTCTGATTGTCTTACTTTTTCGTTTCAGATATGTTGTGCTTACCACAAGTGGAGGTATCATGGATCACGAAGAAGCTAGAAGGAAACACCTGGGAGGAAAAATTTTGGGATTTTTCTTCTAAGATAGATTTATAATTTAATAAAAATTGTTTGTAAAACATAAAGGCTTTTATTTCAAAACCTGAAATATAATTCTGTGGTAGTAGTATTAGTATGACAATATGATATGTTTTTGTGTAAAAATTTATATATCTGTTGGTGATTCTTAAAATAATAATTGCTCTGGAGATTCTTAGGTGTCACAAATTTTAATTGGCTACATATCAACAAGTTTTTTACCATACCAGCACATTTAGTTCTTTATTAAAAACATTTCTGATTAGATTTGTAATGGAGTAATAGACACTTGCCCTATTATTGTCTTTTTATTTGATACATTTTTTAATGGTTTCAAAGAATACTCTTTTCTATGGTTTTAGATATAATATAGAATTGTTCCACTAATTTTTTTTGTAAATTTAGATCATTCTTGCATCTTTTAATATGTATTCCTTATTTTTCTATATCTTTTACTTTCTTTTTTTTATTAATTACAGTGAGACTTATAAAATGAATGAAACTCCATGTTCACGTGGATGTGAACAAATTTTCCAATGTAGACAGGATTTTACATTAAAATATCAGTTATTTTCTTGTATTGCAAAATGCAGGTCACCACCAAAGTTTCTTACACAAATTCCACTGCATGACATGGATTTTCAAAATAGTCTGCCTTTATCTGTATATGAAGTTTGCCTTTGTAGGAAAGGGGGTTAGATTCTCCTTTACAGAACATTATTAATATTTCACTGTTGAGCATGCCCTAACCAACTTAACTTATTTTAGCATCAATTGGTGCCATATCTAGACTTCTACTAATACATCCAGCCTTCATGTTTTTTTTTTAACTGCCTAACATCAATTTCTCTAAATCATAACTGGTTTTATTTAAATCTTTCTGTTACAATACATCATTCACCTATTTCATCCATTCTGTCATAATTATTGTAAGCATCTCCATCTAGTTGGTCATTACTTTGTAATACATAAAGGTCCTATGTAGGTAAACTGATATTTTTCACCATCCAAAGTTATCATTTTGGTTATAGTAACTTTTTAAATACTCTGTTTTTGTCCTACTAAGTTTTAAACATTTTTGTTTAGCGCCATGTAGTTTCCCTGTTATAATCCAATACTAATGGGAATAAATATGGATTAATGTATTCCCTTGATCCAATTCTACTTTCACATGAACTTTATGTAACTGTTACATATTTGCAAGTAATTTTCATTGCCCTCTCTAAAATCAGGTATTAATATACTGCTTCGTTGGTCTGGCATTTGTTCCATTTTCATTAATCTTCATTAAAAAAATATGTTAGCCAACTTGTTCCTGTCTACTATTATAAACTGCGAGGCATAAGTTAGGGATATAGCTAAATATTAAATAAACAATTTTACTACTGTATAAATTAATTAGAAGTCCAAGAACAGGGTTTGTGGCGTAGGTGCTACAACTTTGAGTTATACGGTAGTTTTGGGGAACTTGACGTAAAATGTATTAAATTAGTATGCCTTCGATGGATGGGACATCGAGGTAATTAGGCGAGATGAAGATGCAACAATCAGAAACAGTTTCGACCAAAGAGAACCAGTGGGAAGAGGATCCAGAGGAAGACCAAAACTTAGGTATCAAGATAACACAGAGGATGATCTAAAATCCATCAGAGTTGCCAGAGACAGGGCCAAATGGAAGATTGTTCTGAAGAAGGCTTTGGCTCATGACGAGCTGTACTGCCACTGATGATGATGATGATAAATTGTCACTTATTTAGGTTAACAAATAACATTACATAGTTTTTTGTTTTTTTTTATTCCAAGAAATAATTATAATAAATTTATTGTTTTTAGTTTATTACCCAATGAAGTGAACCCGAAAACTTACTGGGTGCTATTTTTTAACTGGCATATTTTGGGGAAAAGGTGTTGTGTTGTTAGCTTAGATTAAGATATAGGCGCCGGAGTTAGGCAACACAGATGACAGGGATGTCATGTGAACGTAGCCGAAGCTCGGGCAAGCAGGTATGTTTGAGGGTTGAGAATAAACTGATGTTGTGAAGTAACGATTATTATTTGTAACCCCTCTTTGATAACACGACATGGTGGCAGCTGGTGCTTTGTTTTGTTAACATTAAACAAGCAAAGAGTGGTCGAACGTGACAACAGTGCAAATCTTATGCATAACCTATAAATCAGAGGGGACCTAAAATCCTTAAAATGGATGCACCTATCCAAATAAATAAAGAAGTGTTTGCGAACATTTCGGCTCCAAGCGAATTTGATTTTACACAGCCCCAGACATGGCCCCAATGGAAGAAAAGAGTAGAGAGATATATGTCTGTAAGTGGATTTGGACAAAAATCTGACAAGGATAAATTAGACCTACTGTTGTATTTAATGGGAAATGAAGCAGAAGATATTTTACTTCAAAATCAACCAGTGGAGAATGCATCCTTTCAAGATGTAATGCAGATTTTCGACAATCATTTTATTCCCCGAAGAAATACAATCTTTGAGAGATTTCAATTTAATTCAAGGGTACAAAGGCCAGGAGAACCTGTGGGAAACTTTATTTCAAGTCTACATACTCTTGCAGAGCACTGTAGCTATGGAGCTCTTAAAGATGAGTTAATTCGTGACAGGATAGTTATCGGAATAGCTGATAAAAAGGTGAGCGAAAGAATGCAACTAAATGATGGTTTGACACTAGAGAAGGCAATACAAATAGCACGCCAAGCTGAACTTCAAGATAGTCAAAATAGAATTATGAGACAGGAGCAGTCAGTTAGTGCAGTTAAACAGGACTACAGGGAGCGTAGTGATAAAAGACATCAAGGTAAGAGTTTTGCTAAACAAGAAACAACTCATGAGAAAGTTAAGGAAGGTTACAGATGTGGATACTGTGGCATACCTACATGTAAAAATAGGGAGAAATGTCCAGCCAAGTTCTCTGAATGCAGATCTTGTTCACGTAGAGGTCATTGGAGTGTGATGTGCAGGAAGAAAGCTGTCAGAGCTGTTAAGTGTTCAAGGTCCACCAGTAGCAGTAGTACAGATGACGAAGGAAGGGATTCAGTAAATCAAGTGGTACATACAGATTCCTTTATTGGCCAAGTGTACCTAGACAAGAAGGATCGTTGGTATGTAGACATCTTATTGGATGACAAATTTAAGGTACCTTTTTTTGTGGATACAGGAGCAGATGTTAACTGCTTTCCCTATGAAAAATTACCTCCAGAATATGTGGGTAAAATTGTGGCATGTGATGCAATTGGTGCAGCGGACGATCATAAATTGGACACAGTGGGTAAGCTACATATAAAATTTACTTATGACGGTTTTACAAATGATGAAACAATATATCGTCATGAGGGGTGCCAAATCCGTTATGTGAATTTTTAAATTTTTTTTTTTATTTGACAGTTCGATTCCATTTTTGCCGCTCTATCGATTGGTATTATCCGTTTTGTGAAATTCAACCTAGAACTTGCACTTGCTTATCCTTTATGTGTTACAGTCGTTATAACAAGATCCGTTATGTGTTTGAAATAACACATAACGGATTTGACAGTTCTTCATACCTAAGTGCACGACGCAAGAAATGTGTTCTCGTAGTGAAAAACTGTGTTAAAATAATTGAAAGCTTATCAAAACTACGTATTTTTCACATTAAAATCAGTGTTATAATAAATATAGTGGTAAGTACTATTTATTGTTTTCCTAATAAAACTAAGTAAGCACCTACTTAAAAACGACATCGCAAAACTAACCTCAAATTTATCCTTTTTGTGTGCATTGGCAGTGGGGTACTAAATCTAAACGTTCGATGTTCTTCCTAAGGTGCTATAAAACTGCAATGAGGCTTTTTTGCGTTACCGGCATATTGTTAAACATTAAAAGCTGCTGATATAATTCATTCTTTCTATTAACATTTTTGTCGCAACCTATTAGATTAGGGTAAGATTGGTAGGACGGATAGTAGCGATAAATTAATGAGGGAAGTGAAAGAAGAGTATATTAAAATGTGTAAATATTTACACACTTTAATATACTCTTCTTTCACTTCCCTGATTCATTCAAGTATGTACAGAATTTACCAGTCTTTCAACGATAAATTAATACCCTACCACAGCCAAGAATCTACTAAAAATTATATAACACCTTTTTATCACTGCTGTGTTTGGTAATAAAGAATTTCATTTTTTATGTATTTTGTTTTTTACAGGAACTATGAGTTCTGCTTCACAGCGATCCAGACTATTGCTAGACCTAGCAGTAGGTAGAAGAAGTATAGATTCCAATATCCCTTCAACGTCAAAGATATCAATTTTATCTGATGTTTCCATATCTGATGTTTCCATATCCAAATCTTATGATCCAACAAGCAAGAAACATACTTTTCACGGTACAGAAAATTGCCAATCTGGTGAATTGGATCTAGCTCCTATAAAAACGTCTCCTTCCAAGTATGCTCCATTTGGAGAGACAAAAAATGAGGTTAATTGTGGTGATCAGATTGATGTACCTACTTGTGAAGATTCGGAAGTTTTGGAGTTCACTTCAAAGCCCCCACCAAGCACTTGTTGTAATTCAAACCATATATTGGAAACCGGGTGCAATAGACACGTATTACCACAGATACCTACTGGTGAATTCATTCTAGATGCAGAGACTGGCATTCTCAAACTCGTAGATGTTAGAGAATTTGTCGACTCGAACAATTGTTACTTGGATGAAGTCAGTGGTCTATTTTTACCGAACGAATCATCTGAGGTACCTGAAAACTTCGATATTGACGATAGTAGCGGCTCCGAGACTTCCGATACTGAAAATGTTTCTAAAAATCGAAATAAAAATAAGATACAACGAGTTCTAGGTCAAAAATACAACAGCCGTAAAAGGAAATGCATTGCTGATGACAACAGTAAATCCAATTCTTACTATGACCTGCATACAGGAAGGTCTATAAAAAACAAACAATGTTTACATTCTGCAACCGCTAAGTCTGATAGGAGCTTTCTCTGCAGTTTGATATCAGAAGATAGACGGCAATCC